TGCTTTGGCTACAGTATGGGGTTCGCCTGCCAACTGGAAAATTAATGTCACCACAGAAAAGTGGTCTTCATTACCTTTAGGGGAGGTGATGACCTAATGTTACAATCACAGGTCTGTTAATGTTCTGGGGGCCTGGGTTCGAATCCCACCACAGCAGATGGTGGAATTTGAATTAAATAAAAAACATCTCGAAACCATTGTTGATTGTCAGAATAAAACAAACCCGTCTGTTTCACTGATGTCCTTTCGGGAAAGAAACCTTCCACCCTTACCTGGTCTGGCCTACATGTGACTCTTAACTGAACCTCTGGGTAATTAGGGAAGGGCAATAAATGCTGGTCTAGCCAGTGTTCACCCTCATCCCATAAATGAATAAAGAAAACTTATTTAACTGACACTGCGTCGATCTGGACTTCTGGAAAATAGCTCACAGGCAGAACGTTGCCAGTAAACTGGCATAACCTGTCCATACCAGAGGAAAATTCCAGGGCGGAACGGTGGCTCAGTGGTTAGCACTGCAGCCTCACAGTGCCAGGGAACCGGGTTCAATTCCACTGCCTGTGTGGAGTTTGCACATTCTCCCCGTGTCTGCATGGGTTTCCTCCGGGTGCTCCGGTTTCCTCCCACAGTCCAAAGATGTGCAAGCTAGGTGGATTGGCCATGCTAAATTGCCCGTAGCGTTCAGGGGTGTGTAGATTAGATGGGTTATTGGGGGATGGGTCTGGGCGAGATGCTCCGAGGGTCGGTGTGGACTTGTTGGGCCGAAGGACCAGTTTCCACACTGCAGGGATTCTATGAATGATGACTTGTCTTTCTCTGGTACCTTCCCCTGAGCAATTCCTGCACTTTCTTCGTACCTGTTCTGACCCAGCCTACATTTCAATGGTTTTTTTTTTGATATTATACGTGGGAGCCAACTTACACAAAAATACTCTGTTCCCTCTTCTCAAGATACATATGATTTATGATGAAGTGTTCATAAACAATACTATTCTTCAGTTCCAGTAGTACAGTGTGATTATTCAACAAAAATAGAAAATGTTAAATTTGATCAGGAAGCTCCAGTATTAAGTCCTCTTTGCCAACAGCAGCAGGAAGCAGTTGCCTCGAAAGGTAATTTACTGTCATTAGTTTTTGAGTCATGCTGAGTAATTCTGCTGGTATTAATAACTGAATACAGCTCATCAGGTCAATGGTTTTCTGGTTTCTCCTATTTTTCTTCAGTCATTATGTAGCTGAAGACTGGAAGTTCCTGAACCATAAACTGCTCACGCTGGAAGTACGAGAAAAAAATGATTTTCACCGTACTCCTTTCTCTGTGCAACTAAATAAAGTGATGGAATAAATGTACTACAAAACACAAAACACCTCTGGAATTTTTTTTAATTAACAGGATAAGGGCATCACAGGCTAGGCCGTCATTTATTGCTCATCCCTAAAAGCCCAGGGGGCAGGTAAATGTCAACCACATTGCTGTGGGTCTGTAGTCACGTGTAGGCCAGACCAGGTAAGGACAGCAGTTTCCTTTTCCTAAAGGATATCAGTGAACCAGATGGGTTTTCTAATGATCAACAATGGATTCACAGCCATCATGAGTCTCTCAATTTCAGGTTTTTTTTTTAGAAACTGATTTCAAATTCCACATTCTGCCATGGCGAACTTTGAACCCAGGTCCCCAGAGTATTACCTGGGTTGCTGGATTAATACCACTAAGCTATCGTCTTTTTCTGCAGCCATAGACCATGAACAATCCATATTACAATGGATTGTACTTGAGCCTTTTTAATTTGCCAATTTCTTCATTTAAAATTGCTCTGAAAACGTAAAGATAACTGAGAAAGAAACAACGTAACTCCTACACATCCCTGCATCTCAATCATTTAATACTGTTGTTGTCCACCCGCTACAACAACACATGAACCAATGGGGACGAAACACCATTTTAGCAGCAGTATAAAGTTGGCAGTAGCAAATAGATGTCAATGGAAAGGACAGTTGCACAAATGTAAAGACATAGAAACACAGAAATAGGTGCAGGAGTAGGCTATTCAGCCCTTCAAGCTGATGAAAAGCTGGTCAAATTGTGATGTTCTGTTTTGTTTCTTGCCAAAGTTGAAAATTGAGGATTTGAACAACTCAGTCAATACCTATACCTGTGTGTTTTAATACCATTCTCAAAACCAGCCTGCCTTCTACTTAGCACAGCAAGGGTGGATTTAGATTTAGTGAGGAAACTAAATGGCAGCCAGAGAATAGATCTGGAATTCCTGTCCCCATTTCTGGCACTGCCAAGTGCCCTTGGTGTGGGAAAGCAAATGAGTTAGGAGCTTGCAGGCAACACAAGAAATGTTATCACCGCCTAGGCATTGGAGTGCTGAATCAGTAATTTTTGAGATTTTCACAATGTCAGCAAAGTTCTGAAGGCCATGTAAACCAGCATCTTGCAGTTGAGAAAGGAATGGAACACCATTCTTAAGGATGGAAAGTTCTAAGAAGTGTCCAAGTAGGCAGACCTCTTCAGGAAAGTGAGCTCGGAAACGGGGATGCATTGGAGAGGGTGAGAAGAGGTAGAGTTGACCTTTGTGGCAACTTGGGTGTTGCTCAAATATCTGGCACCAATGGGGCATTCAGCCAGGTTTGCTATCCCAAAGAAGGAATCCTGCCATGAAATAGTGCAGCTCACTTGCAATTGGTTGCAGTTGAGGCAGTGCAACAACAACATTAGCCAGCCTGAATAAGGGTCCCTGAGTAGGAAGAAGAATAACCTCAGAAGATAAAGTTATGGACGAGGTCCTGAAAGTATCCAGAAGTCAAGGCTCTAATGAAACTGGCTTACTTCTCTGGAAAAATCTGAGTGTCATTGCAGGAGCAGACTGTAACTATACAGAATGATGATAACACACTTCCTTGATAATGACCTTTCACCTTCCATACTCAAAGGTCTCTGCAGCTAGCACTGAAACTCACGGGTGATAATCAGTTTCTTCATTGCGGGATCATTTCAGGGCTCTGTCACTGACCCAAGTGGTGTCTCTCTGTTGGCTGCTAAACATTGGATTCACACTGCCATAGATGCCCATTTCACAAGGGCAGCTGTCTTCAAAGGTTTCCCAATAGACGCAGCCTATTAAGCACAGGCAGTGAACGGTTGCACCACTAAAGGTGGATTGGCTCAGGTACAGAGAAAGATTGACTGCACTAGTACTGCCAGGATACAGGTGAAATCATGGCATTGGGAAGTTCCCCAACTCCTATTTCTCACCACCAAACATGAAATCTAGCCCAAAAAAGAACTTCCTGTCTTCACTGATATCAAACCCTAGTACACTTTATCAAATTTTGCTCTCTACGGATTATTTTAATTTCCAAGACCATTGTCTAGTTGGTCACACAAATTCAGCTACAACAATAATTAACTCTTTAGCATATCCAGATTTATCACTGATCCAAATCCCTTCACATTAGCCAATATGATCATCTGTTTCTGGCATCTGGCAGACAATTTTTGTTAATCTAGGTAAGATTATAACAACAGAGTTGTAAACCAGGATAATTACAAATGTCTAGTCAGTAAAGCTCAGTCGGTATTCAAAAGGCAAAATGAGGAACTGAGGTTTTATTACTAGTTTTAGCTGATAGAAAGAATCATGACACTTAACTTGGAAATTTGAAAATTATTTGGTCAGTGGCAAATTCCATACGGCAAGTAGCAAAATATTTTAGGAGCAAAAAGATGTTACATTCATCTGCTGCATTATAGTAATTACATAAAATGTTGGATTCTCCCAGTTGGCTGGCTATTCTGCATCATCGGTTTGACTTTGTCATTTTGTGACTCAACAACACAAGCATTTCAACAAAACCAAAGACAGCAAACAATATTTTAAACAGAATTACCATTAAATGTTAGTGCCTATTAATCGAATGAAAACATGATCTCTCATATTTAATCTTAAAGTGTCGATCACAAAATGAAGAAACACATTAAACATATGAAATTGAGTAGGTAGCTCTCTCCATGTTAAAAACTGGGAATTCTTTCAAAAGATGACCATATGCATCTTTTAGTAATATTAGTTGGGAGCCGTTTTAAAATGAGCACTTTTTAAAATTTGGCTTTGCACCAGATTGCTATGATACTGCAATGGGTGTGAAGGGCAAACAGTGTGGAACCTTATACTTGTGTACCTATATTACACTAGCTGTTGAAAAGCTAAAGCTGCAGTGCAACAGCAACTTTATTATGACAGCCCATGAGATTAACGGTTTAAAAAAGGTTGAACAGAAAATGCTGCACACACTCAGTAGGTTGCACAGCATCTGTGCAGTAAGTAAGGGAGGTTAATTTTTCAGGTCAATGATCTTTCATCAGAATCCTACAATATTTGTTTTTAATTTTTAAAACCTGAACTGGATTTTTTAAAGAAAGCTAATGTACTGGTTAGTAATTAATCTACAGATTGCAAGTCAATTTAAAATGCCATATTAAACACATGACGTTTTAAACAAGCATTATCTGTGTGTACGGAACTGTTTGAGCGCCATCACTATATCATTTTTAGGATTTGGTACAATTCTTATCAGTTTCAAAGGCTTTAAAGGTTAGCATTTACACAAAAACCAAAGAATAAGAACAAACCACACACAAAAGGGAAACAAATGACTACTCCGTGTGAATGTAAATTAACTATTTTCTTAACATAATTTTAAAATATGTTTTAGAAGGAAAATGTAATGTTATTTAGTACAATATAATACTTATTATTAAGGGTAAATAATAGCCAAATGGTTTAATACTGGGGGACATGGGAAAAATAAACTAGGCTATAATCATGCAATCTGCCATTTTGATCTTAAAAATGACTCAAAACTTTTGTATCTCTATTTAACACACCAGTACTCTGTTATACATCAGACAGCGTTGCTTTGAAAAAGTGAACTCAGCCATTAGCAGAGGTATACATCTCACTTTTCCTCATTTTCCAACACATGAAACCCACCTGGGGATCCTGGGAAAGCTGTTGCAACAGTTGCTCTTCACTCCGTTTTCTGATTCTTTTCCCAAATTGTTTGCTTGTAGGCTTCACGATGTGGAACCCTTTTAGATTTCCAACCTGCATTATCACAAGGTAAGAAGAGACAATGAAGTCTATTAAATCATAATATTGATTATTACAATGTACCCGAAAGGAATATGGTCAACCTTCGCCCAAACTTTGAAGCTAATCAACTGAGGTCACCTCAGCCCATGTCGCAAGTACAACCGTAAGTAAAATGTTTGCTTTGTCTAAGTCCACTGGGAGTTCACAAAACATCATGTGGCGATAGTTTCATCATAGTGTGCTGGTGGGGGGAATGATCAGGAACCTTGCTTACAAAACATCAAAGAATAGTGGGTGAGATGTGGATTTACTTTTTTTTTGAAAGATGCATCAGGGTTGAAATTGGTGTGTAAAGTCGATGCAAAGCTGACTAATTTTGCTGTGTAATGGCTTGTCCACAAGCAACTATGCAGATGAGGTTCAAGGACCAATTCTAATGTGCCTTGGGCCTCTTAGTTTATGTGTGCATCATTTCCGAGGAGACAAGTCCGGATGTTGAAACAGGAGCATATTATTTCCATGCCATCGTCATTTGATGGTGTTGTCAGATCATACGTTTTGATTGTTGCAATATTTTAACAGCAACTGTCATAACTTATTTTAGTTTTGTTGTAACCTTAAGCAATATTAGCACTTCATAATAAAAATGGACTCATGAATGGCTGATTAAATTAAAATTATTCTCCTTTTGTACATTGTAAACTTTGTCTGTACAGCGTAGGATGCATTGCAGGATACTGATATCTGAGGTTAGTGTCATTTACAATCCTTTTGTTGTTTTAAAGAAAAGGTTCTCTATTCATTTCAACATTAATTTACTAATTAAAATATAATGGTATGATTTTTTAAAAATTCAATGAAAATATGCCCTTCAAGTTACAACTTGACAGTTTGATGAACTTCAAAAAAAAGTAAAAATGCTGATGTCAGCTCAATATTAAAAGATATAAGCTTCTTAAATGATTCCTTGAAACTAATGATTTGACATTTAAAGGCCATCCTTATTTACAAACCGACATATTACTTAAGAGTACAGTTATACTAGCGTCTAATGATGAGATGTAGTTGATTTAGACAGAAAATATAGTTCCTAGATTAATGGCAACTGCATCATTAAATTTTTAAAAGGATCCTATAACCCTTCTTTCATTAATGACTTGTTTAACAGTTTAAGTCCACTTTTAATTATCACAGCCTGTCTTTTAAAGATCAAATTTCTGTCTCTAAATTTTACCAAGTCCTTTTTATGGTTTCAATTGTCACTGTAAATGTCATCACTTTATACCTTCACTGAAGCAATGACAGGCCCACTCTTATCCCTGGCTTTATCTCTCTTTCCATCCTTTATTGTGCTACAAAGATCCCTTTTTCATAGTTTACAGCTGTATCCGCTTTCCACACGTGGCAAATGATTGCCTCCATAGAGGTATTTTCTGTTTCAATCTTGCATTTTCCCAAGGGAGAACAAAAGGGACAAGCTTTCTGGAGTTGGTTTCACTGAGAAAATTGTTCAGAATTGCCTCATTCCTCAGCAGATTAACGAATGCATACAATCCCAGCCTAAGTGCTATTGTACAGCACAATTTGGCCATTATACTTTGTCCTTTCCATTTAGAAATCCTCCTTACCAATTAAAGTAATACAGCCCACCAATACCTGCTCCCAATTAAATCGGAGCTGTATTACCTGCCTTGATGCAGCTGGTCACAGATTCCAACCACTTACTTGTATTCATTAGCCCTATTCATCATCAAGGGCTAATGGCAGGAATTCAAGCTTCAGGCTTTATTTCAGGCCTCACCAAAATTATTAGCTTTCAGTTTATGGCCCTGATAAACACCAGATTAAATAGAGAACTGATTCAAATGGGGGCATCTAACATTATTTCTAACTTCTTTCATGTTCCATCTATATTAAAACAAGATATTGCAACCATTGGTATGTTAATCAAAAATCATGCATAAAATGGCCCCTTAGAGTTTTGTCTATGCTACTGTCAGCCTCCTGACCCCTTTTTTACAAGTAAAGGCCAAACTGAGATCAAGAGGGTAGATGGTCATTGATCAGTCAGTTGTTAACTGGTATATACAATCAGACTCCAAAATTAGACACTATGGTTTTACAATTTCCTATCGATTCTTTGAAACAAGAAAAATCATAATTTTGTAGCTATGATTTTCTTTGAAAGGATGCCCTTTAAAGAGCCCTATTAACAATTCCTCCTACCTGATAGATGAAATCTTATTTTTAATCTTCTTCCCAAAGCTCCAAATTGATTCAATATTTCGCTCTAAGGTGGGTAAAGGGCCCCTCATCTGCATCAGCAACCCGTCAGCTATCAGTGAGTACTCCACAGGGTTAACGAGAACCGTTATCCTTTCAGCATTGAATAACCGATTAGAAGGTGTCAGCGCTTTCAAAATTCAGTCCCAGCTGTGTACTGCTTTGTACTTTGCCAGTACGGAGTTTTAAAATCACTGATTTCTCTTGATCAACCCCCAGGACTGAAAAGAATGCTAATTGCTTTGAGCTACATGGAGATACATGTAGATAGACCCACACCAGTGGAACAAAAAGAACTACAGGCCAGATGTTACAAAATCCAAGGTAATAATAACTTGACGCTTTTTTAAACATATTATGCAAGGCATTTTCCCCTGAATTTCTCAGTACTAACCCCTGCTATTTATAAAGCCAAATTTACTGTTATCAAAGAATAGTACTCCAACTTAGACTAAATGATTTTTTACAATGACCTTGAGTAGGTTCTAAGAAAAAAAAGTACAATATCCTTTAATAATTATGCTTAATTTGTCCCTCTTTCTCTAACTACAGGATCTCTGAAAATGTTTGTTGCCTTTAAAATGGCGAGTCAGTTATCAATACATTAATTTACTTAGCATGATACATAAAAATTACATATAACCTTCATAGCATAAATCTTATTTTTGCTTATTTGGTCAGTGTGCAGTTCCTTTCTGAAAGGCATTTCAGTTCTCAATCTTATTTTAAACTAAAGTGTATTAAGTTGGTACTTTATTTGATTTGAAGAGAGGATGGTGGTAATGTTCCCTGTCCTCTTTTTCTGTAGTTGTCATGTGAACGTTCCAGGTCGTGACTTGGCAAGCTACAATGAAGGAAGGAGCATACAGCAAACAGCAGAAGGTGTATCTTGAATCTGAGACACTACAAGACTGTTGACATGTTCACTCCATCTGGCAAAAATGCTTGCTCAGTTCTGTCTATTCAGACCCTGCATTTCCATGGATAATCATTGCTCTTGAATATCAAAATGTAGTTAAACCTCACTCTCCTCTTGGACATCCACAAACTGGGAGAAAGCAAAGGAAAATGTCATTGCTTTGCAAGATTTCTGAAGTCACTTTCTTTTTCTTGAAGTCTTTCATTCCTCTGTGGAGTTTGAGAGGAGATGAGGTCAGAAACTATGCCCCACCAGCTGAACCAATTTAGCGACTTTCTCCTGAGGCTCCTTTGACCTACCTGACCTGACCGAGGTGACCCTATGTACCTTCATTCTGAACCAATGCAGAGTAGGCCCAGCTCATTAGAAGGCACGCCAGTTATAAACCAAGCTCTGTGAAATTACAACAATGTCTGACAAAATTATTGCACACTGCCAGCAACATTGCTCAATCTCTTCCTAAAACTTATTGATGCTTCCTATTCATGACAATATTAAGGCTTACTGTGTAAATTATATTTATTCTAAATAATCTATATCAGCATATATCTAACATATTTTAGATTACAATTAAAATTGTCCAAAAGTTCAGTAAATTAAAGGCCATACTTTAAATGTTTTACAATCTTAGGCTGCCACTGATTACTGAGTAGCCATCAAGAGTTTCAAATGTACAAATAAATTCTGATAATTATTTATTAGTCTTAGCTTCCTTACCATATGGTAAGGAAAATAATTGAAACAGTTTCCTCTCACCTGCAATGAATTATCATAGGATACCAGATCCACCTGCAGTTGGCTCTATGTCATGTTTCATGGCATCTCATTTCTCCACCAATGCAAATTTTTAAAAATTTCAATGCCTTCTGACCCACACATTTTAAAAGAAAAACATTGATTACATCTCATAATGCCTTTCTGGACATTTCTTCACCCATGGAGTTTGTAGCATTCTGGGGTCGTCAAAAGCTGCTTCCTTAATGCAAAATACATATAAAACAAGCTCCACCTCAGTACTCTTCCAATGTTTCACTGCCTGCCACATGCTGATTTTTCAGTCTGTTATTTTGTTGAAGCATTTATAATAATCCTGTGAGTAATTCCTATACTTAGATTAACTCTTGGATTAGAATTGTAGAATGGTTACAGCAAAAGAGGTGGCCATTCAACTCATCTTGATCATACTCGATCTCTGCAATGAAAGCTCAGGAAAGTCCAATCCCTAGCCCTTCCCATGTGATCAAGCACATCATTTCTCTTCAGATGCTTCTCTGATTCCTTTACGAAAGCTGTGATTCAATCTGCCTCCACCACACTCTGGGTGTGCTTTCCAGATCCTATTGGTTCAAAAACCGTTTTCCTCCTTTTGCAGTTAGTTCTTTTCCCTCTCATGTTAAATCTGTGGCCTCTGATTTTCAACTCTTCCTCCATAGGGAGCGGTTTCTCTTTATCTACTCTGTCTAGATGATTCTTATGAGTTTAAACACCCTATTAAATCTTCTCTCAAGTCTTTTTAATGAGAACAACCTCAGCTTCTCCAAACTATCTGCTCAAGTCTCTTTTCCTGGAATCATTTTCATAAATCTTTGCTGCAACTTCTCGGAGGCCTTCACATCCTTCTGAAAGTGATATGTCCCGAACTGAAGGACAATATTCAAATGATTAATATATGCAGACACTTTTCTACCCTGAAATTAAAATGGATCAATTACAATGGCCGAAATCTTTCTTGAGAAAGTGGCAAGATCACAATGCATGCTTTCATTAAAATTGTGAATTGGCCAGCAAGTTAGGTAAAGAAGAAGAGGTA